TCGGAGGATTCCGGCATAAGATGAGAACAAAGCTACTCCCATCCACTTCCATCGGAAAGAGGGTACTGTAAGAGGGCATCAGAAATGGAGGGAAAACGTAAGCGCAACTTTCATGCATCCTTGAAAGGCACACAGGGCATGTGGTCATTGCCCTTGTGAAATCTGCGAAGCTGCCACTTTTGTAGGCCCAACGAAGGGAAGATTTGAGGGATCCCTGTTTTTGGTCCCGACTCGTGGCATCTTGTCCCTTGCCTGTCTCGAAGGTCTTTGGTACCACTGCGACCGCCCAAGTGGCTGAGTGCGCACAGAGGGCAAAAATCATGCCTCCCCAAAAGGCGTTCCCCCCCAAAAGTAAAGATACTGCAATATCTACGCGGGGCTTTCACTGGGAGATCCCATGTCTGACATAAAACGTGCCCTTTACTTTGGGAATAGGGATTCTTTTCAGGACACGTGCTCCGCAGTGGGGGCCCTGGGTTTCCTTTTTCTCTTCAGTTCCAAGAAGTGCCTCATTTGCACCGGGCTAGGATACATTTTGGCCATTCAAGAAACGTGGATAAGAAGTTCCAGGGAAGCCAAAGTTCAAGGTGGTTGGTGTTTCGGTGTAGTTTTTGTTCGAAATCCGATGCACAACTTGTTTCCGGTCGAGCGAAGCCTGCAGGGCTCGGAACAGCCGCGGAGCGGGGGCCCGGCAGCTGCCGCGGATTGGCTCCGCTGGGCAGCCCGGCAACTCCACTCCCTGCGAGCACAGTGAGGCCTTATTTGGCTTGGAATTTTATTAGGGATGCCCCTCAACAGTGGCGTGGACAGAAAAGTCTCATGTGAGTGATGCAAACAGTCCCCAATTGAAATACATATGAGCGCAAAAGCGTGCAGTGCTTGTAGGATTTTGGGACCCTGCTGGTGGATTGAAATTGCAAGGAAGCCATGACTATCTCGTAGGCTGTTTCCCAACTAACGTTCAACCTCCTTGGAGGCATGTCTGGAACGGTGTAAGAGAACTTGGGAGGGCTTCCACTTATCCAAAGGGAGGGTTCTGCAGCGGTTAGATACCATAGGCCAGTTTGGTTGAAAGTTGGTAGTGGAAGTAAGTTTCAGTTCGGTTCGAGTAGGCTGGATCTGGCAGTTGAGATCGTACAGGACAGAGTTTCTGCAAAGAGCGCCGCTTGTGGCGAGCGAAACGAACTCACGCATGATCGTTACTTACGAAGTTTCCTTATTTCCCAATTTGTGAGTTGTGCAAGGAGTTTTGTTGAGCGTGCTTCCAAGTGTTTCGTTTGAGACTGAGATCTTTGATCAGGGTTCGAGTGGTTCTGGCGAGTTTGTTGCACACACACACACAATGCGTCGAGCAGGCATTGCCTTGTTGGTTGCTAGAGGGTCAAGAGCATCTCGCGGATGAAATCAGGGGTAGGGTCCCGACCCTTTAAAGACGGCACTGACTGTTATATTTTAAGCATGTTCCACAAAGCAGCATCATAGATGTTCTCATCTAGGAACTTCTATCATAATCCTTTTGCCTCTCTCACAAGCTCATCCAAAGGAGGTGGGCATTTCCGTTTTTTGGATCGTGCCCACTTTTGTGGCACCCTCGCTGGCTAAAATAGAAAGCGTGCATACAGAATGTTGATATCGTGATTTTTCAGTGGGGACTTGGGTCCTGGCAGTGGCGTGGATCTTGTAAGATTGCAAGCCTCCCGAAAGAAACAAAATAAGAAATAAGTCACCACACACGCACACAGCACACATAGTACACCAACCACATCCTGAGGCCAAGTCTGGGAGCCATTTGGAGGTGCGGGACTCGGGGAGGGCATTCACAAAGCACTGGGGGCTCGGATCAAAGGGTTCACAGAGCGCCGTGTCTTTTTCGTTGGCTCCCAAATTGGTTTTTGTTCATCCAACAGCTTTGTTTTGAAAAAGCGTTCGCTCTCTGTCCAGTGGCTCGGGTCAACTAAGAGCTCCAAGGCCCCAGAGGGGCCCCTTAGATGTCTTGGGAGAAAGCTGAAGAATGGTTAGAAACCCGACTTACAAGGGCTTAGGATGGATGGAGGTGTGTCTTGCAGGGGTATCAACAAGATCATGGGAACACAGGCTGACAAGATATGGATTAACTCCAGGTGGGCAGGGTTGTAGAGCAACTGCTCACCAAGCGATTCCGACGAAGCCCGAAGGTTTGCTTATCGGCTCGTACGGGTGATTTGGGTTGGAGGGAGAGTGGGTTGCCTGGGTTTTTGTTGGGGGAAAGGCCTTCTGTGGTGTGTACGTTTTCTTGCAAACAAGGTTCGAGCCTTGAAATGACCAATCCAAACGAACCTGATCTTTGTAGGATTTGCAAGGAATGGACAACTAATTTGGGAAAGCTGTCAGCACGCAGAGTAAGGAGTTGCCAATGCAAGTTCTTGTTTACTGCAGCCTGCGCGTTTATTAAGACAGCCTTTTTATCAAACGGTTGTTTGTGGTCTGAGGAAGGCTGCAACCTAACAGTTTCTTGCAACGAAAAGAACCACAGTCAAATTGATCAACCTGTGCAAATGGCTGCTGCAGGTAATGCTCAAGGAGTCAAGTTGGCTCAGCATCGAGCGATCTTTGTTTTGATGTGGTGCATCGTTTGGAGCAAGCGGCCAGTGGGCACTGGTGCAATGAAGGAGTGCTTTGAGGGGAAAGTTATTGGTGGACCCTGCGAAGGATTCCCCGAAGGAACCACATGTGTCATCAAATGCATAAAACCAGCGTTATACAACAGAGGCCTACGCATTACGATGATCGACATCGGGATGCAAAACTTAGCTGTGGACCTGGTGCGCCGGTTCAACACGCGCAAGCAAATTTGATTTGGACGGCCAACATGAAGGTTGCGAAGCTGATGCGTCTGCCAGAACGAGTTGCACAGTTAGGCAGGCTCGTGGGACATGACCTGGTTGATGGTGAGCCTGTCATCATAGAGGAAAAGATCCACGGCCACTTCGAAAAGTTCAACTCGAACTCTGGCTGGAGTTCCGGACACGTCCTCCCAGATGCCTTGAGTGATTGGAGTTGGGTGCACACGAACGGGCAGCAGTTGTTGTGTGATTTGCAAGGGCACCGCAGTGAACTCGGCGACTACATCTTTACGGATCCAGCCTTGCTGAGCCCCCATGGCGTGTTTGGCTGCACCGACCTTGGCGCAGAGGGCATCTCCGCCTGGTTCCAGCATCACGCATCTCGGATCTGAAGGGCTTAGCTTCTTGTGTTATTTTCCAACAGCTTTTACATGTAGGATGGTGTGTAAAGAAAACGCTTACTGCAGGATGGTTTTTTCATGGCCATGGCCACCAGGTTACAGTCTCTTTTGTTTTTGATTTGGGAGGGACATAGCGGGACTCACTCGACTGCCCACCAGAACCAACGCCTATCGACATTTTTGCTTGTCCATCTGGGCCACCACGTGTTTTGACCGTGTCTCCCGACTACACCCACCACGTGCAGGTCCATACGTGAACCTATGGCTAGTTGGGACCCCTTTGGAGGCTGATGAGAAGCGGTGAATTGACCAACCTAATGGATCAGGGTTCATATCAGGGTATAGAGATGCACGCATTTGGCCAATGACCACGTGGCCAAGGTTTGCAACGAGGTCTGCCGTTCGATGGGCCTTGCTGGCAAAGTGCCACGGACTTGTGGCCGTGTGCCATGCCAACGGGGAACCTCCTGGTGCTGAGGGGGCAATCCAGGGCGGGATCTGGAAAGGGGAGCCTCAAAAGGCCACCAGCGATTTCTTCACAGACTTGGTTTTTGCATGGCTTCATTTCCGGACACTGGCAGACGCAAGCCCCATTTCGATTCATGGACAGGCCTTTTGCCACTGGCACAAGACCAGGCAGGCAAAGGCACCTGAGCCACGGTCAAAACTTGCAAGTGCCATGGGCAGAAAGGCCTTGTACCCCGAGGGAATCTCGTGTTTTATGATGGATAATCAAATTTGAGCGCGGCTCACCACCTTTGAAACAGATCGAATTCACCAGTCGTCGAGCTCGCCGCTTTGCAGCGGGAGCAAAGGGTGAGGCTTCGCGAGGCTCGACAAGCCCTGAAACAACCTCCAGCTAGAGTTTTTTCCACAGCATGCTATCAACTTCTTGATTGTACCTCTTGGAGTTTGTCCACATTTCTTGGCAATCATGATTAACATATGTTTGGATCTGTGGCGTTCGAGCCCTTCGCGACATGCCTGTCCTGCACGATGGCGAGACCAAAAGGCCATGCATCGTATGGGTTTCGGTCGCACAGCTCTGGACGACCAGCTGCTGATCACCACCCAGTTTCCCTGTTTTCGGGGAGGTTTCCCTTTAAACCCCATGGCCACTAAGCTTCTCTGTGTAAGGCTTGTTTAGCCTACATGACTTCAGAACTTCAGGGGTCAACCCAAATCCATGGCAAATAAGCCAGAGGGCGGAAATCAGGTGAAATCAGGAAGATGCTGGCGCTTGGGCTTTTGGACATGAGGTCCGGCCGAAATGTACACTGGGCCATGGTTCATTTGGGAGGGACAAGGGGGAACTCACTGAATCTCCGGCCTGTCACCAATCTTTCTCGGCCCCCTCTTGGGGGCAACATGCATAATTTCGAAATTGCCTCATATCAATCAACACCATTTTGATTGGTCTTGGGAGCAGCTTCATGGTCTGGCTGCTTCATGAGAGCAAGCACAGGGAGTGCATTTTCGTCTTGTGCTTGTAAATCAAAGGCAGCTTCGGATTCCACTGGCTTCAGTGTTGTTCTAACCATTCAGTGCCATCATTTTTTTCCGCAAAAGGACACCGCTTGCTTCTTGCAAGGGCTCTTGGGTAAAGCTGGGCCTCACCGGTGTTTCCTCCCAGAGATGTGGGATACGAAAAGACCGCTTTAGTCTGAGGGGTTGAGAAGAACATGCGCCTAAAGCTGAGGAGATTCAGGCTTCCGACCGAGCCTAGTAATGAGCAAAACCCGAGGATAGAACAAATTTGGTTCCTCTGGTTTCCCTT